TTCAAATGTGTTGCCTGTGGAGCAAGTTTGTTGTCTTCGTTCAAATCAGGAATGCTGTGACCTAAAAGCCTGGCAGCCAGCGACAACAATAAGCTGTAGCCCAAAATAATTCAGAACATGTTGTTTTCTTGTGTGGGTTACATGTAGCGTAAACATACAAGAAAATCTATATTAGTTTGTGAGTTTAAAAGCTGTTTATAAAATATTGTTGTTTTTGGACAGAGCTTCTTTGGATTTCTATCTTCCATCTGCGTCCAGTCCGGTCACCCCCACATTAACCCTCTCAGAAACCCCGCCACCCAGCTGCATGATAAACAAGGGGAGGGGTTTTCTCATAATCGCCTTCAGTCAGGGAGTTGATGCTGTTTAATGTCTCTTCACTCTCAGAAGAGCAACATTGAGGATGAATATAGCTGACATGAGGGACAAAATGAATGTGTCCTCTCAGTGCACTGGCAGGTGCTGCTCATGCATCTCACAGTGAGGCCCCACAGAGAGACGTTCGTCAGCTTTTGGGTTGGGTCGATTTCCTGGGGCGGGAGCATATGCTGTTAGCTCTCGAACTGCCATTCTCTTCACTTCTAAAAGAATTCAAGATATTTTGGGGAGCTGTGCTCCATCGTATCATTATGGTTTTATAACTGTAACAATTATGTGCACATTTGCAATAAAATGCCACTATACACAGTCTAATACCTCATTATTAGAGTAGCTAAATTTTTTGTTTAAAGGTTTGTCATATGGATGAATAAAAGGGCACATTACTTCAAGAAACTGCTTTTACAGGCAGCATCATTTATGCAATTTCTTGTGTTATCTTATGTCACGTCTTGTGATCCCTTTGGAGCATTGTGTGGTGGGTGTGTTAACACAGGTGTCCTTTTAATCAGGACCCTGCGTGTTTCCCCTCCCGAGCTGTCGCTTGTTGAGTGATGATGGAGGACCTGCCACTGTTTGCACCATCTAAATCCTGCGAGAGGCAGGGGGGAGATTAACAGCCTCTTACCTGTTGCCCTAATCAAAGGAATTATTACAGAGCTGCTGGATGTTACTCAAAAAAGCACCTTCTAAAAATACACACGCATTTGTAAAACACGTACACAGGTTTAGGATGGGGACTGATTCTGTCAGAGAGCTAAATACATTCATCTTTTGTTTGATGCTGTGTATTCATCACTGATCTGTCCCAGCCATGACACTTGATAGTTTCCGTGGTAGCCCCTATGAGCATCAGTCGCAGACCATGTTATACAAGATAGACGTAGCTTCTGTGACGTCAGCGGTTAGATAGTGAGGCTGTCATTTTAAAATTTGTGTTTTGGCTGCTGTTCTCCTTGGGGTTTAAAGCTACAAATTAAAGTTTAATTCCTTTGAGCTACTGAGTTCAAACTTTGCTCAATCAGTGACGTCACTCATTTAAAGATGCATGATATTGGACTTTTGGCCGATATCCGTTATGTTATTTATTTGTCCGATAACTGATACCGATATTTTACATATGTTCCTTTGTCAGAACATAGCCCTCTTATTTAGGCTTATTTGCTACAAAGCTTGCGCAACAGCTGTAAGAGCTGGTGACATATATTCAGTAACAGCCATATGATATGCATAGCACTTTAACTTGTATTAAATGAAAAGTGTTAAATGTTATTTATTAGCATTAGACACCTGTGATGTCTCAGTTGTGGAGGTTTGTTCCAGGTTCCTAGCTGCAGTGTGGGATCCTCTGCACTCCTGTGCATGAAGGACAGCCTTTTTAAGTTCAAACTTCTTGTCTATCCATTGTGCTGTAAGACTAATCATGCTAATGGGGCTAACACAACATCCAAATGTCTGTGGTCAAACTCACCCAAGTCGTGCTATCGGCTATTAGCTTCTCATTGACGTCAGAAATGACGGCTTGTAACTCGGGTAAGGCTACATTGGAAAAATATGTCCGACTGGGGACGTTGTAGCGAGGCTCAACATAGTCCAAAAATCTTCGGAATCCGACATCCTCAACGAAAAAACCATCCACACCACGGACAATTTGAATTTTCCTGTCTGCTATGAAATCAGGTTGACGCGCGTTACGTCATCACGTTGTGCTGCCGCTGCAGGCATCCTTGTCACTGGGTTATCATGCAAAAACATTGGCTTTTATATTGGTGAGTTATTTTGATGGAATGGCCGATGTCCGATATTGAACTTTAACACTAATATAGCCGATACCGATACCATGCCGATAATATTGTGCATCCCTACCCTCATTATTTTAAAATTCCAACTTAAAGTCCCTGGATTGTTTTCATTAATCCGATAATCAACTATTTAAGCCAAAAGAGTTTCTCAACCAGGTGGTGAACTGGTTTTTTTTGTACTATGTAGTTGGTACTTTTAACAGGAGATTGTAAGAGTAGTATTTTCTTTATGAAATAATCAATAACTCACAATTTTCTAGTTTTCTGGGCAGAACAAACAAAACTTACCTGTGAAATAAACAAGTTACAAATGGACAACTTGTGCACAGGCAGAATAAAAAACAGTATTAGTTTTAGTTTTGTGGAAAGTTTCTATACATATGACATGGCTCTCCCTTTTTTTTGGTGCAGAGTGCACCTGTCCTCTCTGCTGGTTAAAGAGGCCTGTGAACAGCTCTCATCCCGTTGGCCCACTTGACTTGTCGAATATTTGATCCACATAAACTGTGGGAAAGGCTCATCCACATGTAGAGGAAAAGAAAAGGGAAAGACCATGATGAAAGCACATTAATATTAACTGTGAAGATAAATTTTTGATCACGAGTCATTTTTATAGCTCATTTCTTTCTATCTTCTATACATCAGAATAAGTTTCAGTTATTTTGGGGGTGATTTACTCTCACAGATTGAGCTACCCCGTTTTATATTCTGTACACAACTGTCAGTCTTGATCACAAAATAGATTATGATTAGTCCATGTGTGTATCTGCGTAGGGAACTTATTGTGTATTACACATTCGATTATTATATGACTCGCTCATATTTCTATTCTTCTCAGCTGAAAGGTTGCTGTCAGTCTTACAAAGGCATATTTTATGGTTACCTTACTTAAACAGTAAAAACAACAAGAGTTACCGCTCATCTGAAACAGTCTTCATCACAGCTATAGCTCAAACACTGGACGGACTAGGTCTTTTAAAATTAATTGTTATGTAACTTTGAATTATTTATACTGCTTAGCTCCTCTGTACTGGTGTTAGAATGATTGTTTTCTCTTTGTTTACCTCCTCTTCAGCATATTTACAACAAGCAAACTTTGCATGAAATATTTGGCAGTTTTACACCAGATATCCTTTCTGACACAAACTGGGATCAAAGCTGCAGTTTGTTTTGATTAGCTTTGGTGGCCATCTTGAATGACATTGACCTCAAAAGTTAATCAGGTGTGGATGTGCATTCAATGGTTTCTTTCTCAGAGGTTCAAATCTGTTCAATGGTTCGTGAGATTGTTAACAAGGTTGACTTCAACTGAGGTGCCTTTCTTGATGTTTGTCTTGGGGAGGACACTCAGATACTAGCAGGCCAAATTTTAGCTCAATATCTGTAAAACTGACCATTTTTGTGTTAAATAGCCATCTTGAAATGGGTTGACTTTAAAAAATAATCAGTTAGCGATGTAAATGTATTGATTACTTTCAGAAAGTTTGATTAAAATTTGCCCTGGGCTTCACAAGATCTTTTACTTTCGTTCAGACAAACCAAGACATCTTTCGTTGTGAGTGATAATTATAGCAAAAGAAAGATCAGATTCAGATCTATACCCAGGCTCACAAATAACAGTTTTTTGAGGGGACTTTGGGGCGGTTGTGGCTGAGTGGTTAGAGCAGTCGTCCGCGATGCAAGAGTTGGGTTTCAATGCCACCACCAGCAGTCACATGCAGAAGTGTCCCTGAGCAAGACACTGAACTCCTCATTGCCTCTGATGTGTGGCCCATTGTATGAATGTGATAAAGCACTGATTATTCTTTGTACGGAAATAGTAGAGTGCTGTATGAATGGGTAAATGAGGGAACAGACTGTGTTGTAAAGCATTTTGAGTATCTCAAAAGGTGCTATATAAGTGCAGTCCATTTACATTATTTCAAAGCAGTCATCGAATCAATTTTGTTCACTTTAAAGAAATGCTTCGAACATAGCAAAAGCTCAGGCCCAGTCACATTTTCTGAGGGCTTCCCAAAGAAATTCAGCTGTAAAAATGATGTGATAACCCCAGACATAACAACAAGCTGCAGCATGGGATCTTTTCTTCACTCGTTTGCTAAAATATTTCCTGCTCTGTCTACACTTATCTGACAACGTTTATCTTGTAAAGGGATTGTATAAAGAAACTTACTGCCCTGTTCCTGTTCTGGGCAAAGTAAAACAGGGCTGTTATGATGAGGTGAGGTGGGAAGATTTGCAGAATCTCTACAAAGTGCAGGAAACGTTAAAAGAATTAGTCTTTGGTGCAGACATAAGGAAATTATCATAGAATTATTTGCCTTTCTGTCATTCCAGTTGTGCCTCTTTATGTTACGCCTCTGCTCGTCCTTTTGACCCTCTCTTTGCTTCACATTTGCATTCATGCTCCTAGCTGACTGTCTCTAATTCTCACTCCCATACCTGTCGCTCAAAGGCTTCAACAGAGCACATGCGGAGGTTGGCTTGGTTTGTCTAATTTGCCAGCACTCATTTTGACGAAGGCTGCCTTTCTTAATGGAAGCAGCTTCTTATTAAAAGTTTATTTAGCAGAAGGCAGAGGAATGATTAAAACTGCACTGGCCAAATAGGATGAGGAGAATTAGTACAAGCAAGCGATTAGACCCGACTGTGTGTTCATGTGTGCATTTGTGTGTCAGTGTTTCCCCTGAGGGCATCACAAGCAAATGCAATATTACTGTAAGTGTACAAGATGAAGCTTAATAACAAAGTTAGCACATCAGAGGCCTGCGAATTACACTTCACACACATTATTATTTTTTTTCTTGTTTTTCTTTTCAGAGCAGACCAGTGTTATCCTCCAGCATCTCCCCTCCCCTCAGTATTCTGATCCTCTGTCTGTCACCCGGTAAGTACTCGCAGATTCACCTCCCACAACTATTACAGAGACTTTAAGTGTATTTCAGTACTTTTATCTACTGGTAATCATCAGCTCACTGTCTGGCTTCAACTGCAAATTTATGTCACCTTAGTAAAAACAGAATTTCTGGTTAATATAAATGGAAATGCAACAATTTTCAGTCAGGTCATCTGGACAGTTTCTTTTTTTGTGCCAAAATGTTTCACCTTCCATCTAGAAGGCTTCATCAGTCAAGGAAAAACACAACACAAAACTGATTCTTCCCCCAACAGCTTACTCCAAAGTGAAACAAACCAGTTATGTTAGTGCTAAGATGGTGTCTTTGGCACGCCCCCTCCTCAGGTGCCAGCCCTCTTCCTCATAGACAGTCATGTCAAACTGGTTCAAAACCAACAAAGTCCATACTCAATAATCCAGGTATACAATCCAGCAACTGTTGGATTGTATACCTGGATTATTGAGTATGGACTTTGTTGGTTTTGAACCAGTTTGACATGACTGTCGACGACGAGGAAGAGGGCCGGCACCGGAGAAGGGGGCGTGTCAAAGAGACCATCTTAGCACTAACATAACTGGTTTGTTTCACTTTGGAGTAAGCTGTTGGGGGAAGAATCAATTTTGTGTTGTTTTTCCTTGACTGATGAAGCCTTCTAGATGGAAGGTGAAACATTTCAGCACAAAAAAAGAAACTGTCCAGATGACCTGACTGAAAAATGTTGGATTGTATACCTGGATTATTGAGCATGGACTTTGTTGATACATGGAAATGCTTTTGTATTGTTAGCCAATATAGATTAATAAAGCGGTATTGCAACGTAGAAAGTATTTTCTATATATACTGATAGATCGATGTTTCCCCTACCATTATGCAAGGAGGACACCCCACCTTGTCAACAAAACCAAACCCCTTACCTACAACAACATTAACAACAAAGTCATTTTTTGACATTCAAAGTATCAGATATATATTTTTTATTTCTGTAATTTGATACATCTAAAACCATTTTACTCTCTTATTCTAGTGTATTTAGTTGGGGAGTAGTGGCACAGAGGTTAGCGAAGGTGAGCCTGTGATCGAAAGATCGCAGGTTCAACTCCCGGTACCGACAACATCAAAATTGTTGATGGGAATGGTGAAGCACCCATACCTGTCTCCACCCTCATTTGCCCCACTCTGGGCCATTCAGCATGGCCCTCAACCTCCCCATCTGCTCCCCCGGGCACCCTAGATAGCAGCTCTCTGCTCCACACAGAGGGCTGTGGTAGCTCTGTGGTCTATGTTGCGTCAGGAAGGGCATCTGGTGTAAAAACAATTGCCAAGTCTTCATGCGACTCAGTTCGCTGTGGTGACCCCTGACAGAGGGAGAAGCCGAAAAAATAAAAATAAAAATTCTAGTGTATTTAGTTATTACTGATACTTGCAAAATAAATCACTTTTGCACTAAGCACACTGCACACTTGTTGAACTTAATTATAGTTAGTTAGTTAGTTAGTTAGTTAGTTAGTTAGTTAGTTAGTTAGTTAGTTAGGTAGGTAGGTAGGTAGGTAGGTAGGTAGGTAGGTAGGTAGGTAGGT